GGATGCTTTGGGGCCTATGCCAGACAGCCACCATGCCAGGGGACATATGGAGGGGTAAAGCTGTTACTTTATGGCAGTGAAAAAGAAAAGAGGGAGTGAGGGTTCAACTGTTCCCATTAAGGGAACACTCTGGGTGGTCTAAGCTTTCCCATTAGACCCCTACTCTTAAATTTTCCGCATGCCTCCCAATAACAACACAAGCCTCTGACCCACTCTTAAACATGTGAATCTTAAGGCAACACTCAAGACCTGAACTGGATCACCACCTAGACAAGGACGGAGGTCAGACATCACACGTAGGCAGTGGAAGATAACCCTCTCACTCATCAGATACTGAGGATGGGAGTGTATTTGCTAAACCAATTTAGCTAAAACTGTCACGAGGTGCTTTACAGAGGGGCTGAGAAGAAGAACGGAGACCTTACATTTTGACTAACCAGAGACTGTCATGCTGACTAAGTGGCAAAACTTGGATTTCTGCCCAGGTCTTCCCGACCCTGGATGCTAAGTGCTTTCCAAGCTGCCACACTACCTCCTACCTAGGAGGGCGAAGCTGTCGCTGGTGCCCAACAGCTGTCGGGAGAAGAGCAGCTGGGCCAAGGGAGACAACGAAGGCTATTGTTAAGAGAGCCCGGCGGGCAGGGGGAAGGACAGGTGTGTGGCATTAGGGCCAAGGAACAGCTTGCGAAAGAAGCAACCAGTGGCCGTGACTGACAGGAGAGGAGAGTTTCAAGGGATGGTGCCTTTGGTTTTCATCCAGAAGTTTCCCAGCTCTTGTTTCTTCGGAAACGTTGCTCATCCTTAATGAATGGCAGGCAGTGCGCATGTGCATAAGCTGCTTCTCCAGGAGCGATGCTCAGAGTGCCCTCAAGCCCAGCTCTCCGGAGTTTACATTGTGTGTCCACATGTAATCTCAGCATTCGGTGCTATGTCTATCACCTGATTTTCACACGAGATTTGAAGGCCAAGGACCGTCCCAATTTCCCAGTTAGACCAAGATCAGACCCTTAATAGCCTGCCCACATCCCTGCCCTGTGTTGGAGGGCTCTGAAGTTTCACACCGGACTAGACTTTCTGTGAGGACTTTGTAGACAGAGAAAAGGGGGCTCTGCCTGCGACCCCTCCAGCCATTGAACATATAATTTGTTTCTTTCAAGGAGAGGAAAGGGATCTTGAGGTCACCCACTTAGAGACAGCCAGGCATCAGGCTTCAGTACCTAGACCAGACAAAAGAAAGCAACCCTGGCCTGAGAGACTAAGTCATCGTCGAGAGACCACTGCCACCTTGTGGCTACAGTCTGGCACTGCACACCCTCACCGACTCCGGGTTGATGTCTACATGTTAGAGCTTGCTTATTTTCCTCTCTATAATTGGCTCATAAGACAAGACCGATAGCGTCAGCGCTTTCTCTGATAGGAGACATGGGAATCAGGCATTTGTTAAAAAAAAAAAAAGAGCGAGTTTATATTTGAATAAATTGACCAAGAATCTTTTAAACTGGGAAACAGAAAAAGACCTTTCATTTTCATGGCAACAACGTGTAAGAGAACTGAGTGTAGCTCAGTTGATAGAGTCCTTACCTAACCCGCCTGAATCCCTCGGTTTGTGCCCAGCACAGCATAAACTGGGTGTGGCGGCTGGAGGATCAGAAGTTCAAGGTCATTCTTAGCTGAAGTGAGAGTTCAAGACCTGGGCTACATAAGACCTTGTTTCAAGATTTGTGTGTGTGTGTGTGTGTGTGTGTGTGTGTGTGTGTGTGTGTGTGTGTGTGTAAAATTGTGTCAACTTTCTTGCTATTGAAATGTGTGTGTGTATGTATGTGTAAAAATCACTACCTTCTTCACTTTTAAGAAGAAATGTGAATGCATGCAATTGATATCGTTTTTGCTAAGCACAGCCCTGTTCCTCTTCTGAAAAATGGTTGGTTCCATGGAAGTATTGTGGTCTGTTACTATGAAGACAGTCTGATACTTTGAAAACGATTTGTTGGTTTACATGTGACATCTATTTGGTAAGGCAGGGAGAGCAATGTTTCCCAGCAAGACGGTATGGGTCACGGAAAGCCTTTTACTATACTTATATTTGTTAAGTAAAACACACTAAGCACAATGACTCTGTATCTGAAGAGGTCTTAGGAGGCAAATTTCATATCTCATATCATAAATACGTGCTTTTGAGGCTTGATCTAAAGAGTATACATATATATGCTAGAATGTTACACGGTGTGTGACACCGTGCCTGGCTCACACGTTTTAGGCTAAAAGGAATACAGGCTAGAATTCTGTACGCGTGGCCCTGGAATTCCAGGGGCCTCATTCCAAGCTTTTGTTTGCCTCTGTTATTAATCTCTTTGAAATGAGCTCGGATTGAAAACGATTTGCTTGCTAGAGGTACGCTAACAGAATCTCATAGATGCAGAGGCTCAGATCACATACATGCATCTCCCTTGGGTCCTGAGACTGAAAAGCTGAAGGACGTTCCTGCTAGAGGTGATGTCTACTGAGGCCTGTGCTCGGGTGTGCGGACGGCAGTTGTTTCATGTGTGCTCACAAGGACTTTTCTTGCTGTGTGCATGGGAGCGGACAAGTGGCCAGAGTCCTGGCTCTGTGATGCCTCCTCTTAGAAAGAGACCATTTTGGGGCATTAGGGTGCTGCTCTCACTTAACCCCACTTCCTTGGAGACTTTGTATTCAGGGTGCTTTGGTTTTTGTTGTGGTTGGTTGGTTTGGTTTAAGTTGGGAGGAGATAACTGAGTCCACACTAAACATTTTGGTTGAGGAAGAGACTTTTTATAGTCTCAGCACCCTCTGGTCTGATCAGAATCCACTGAGATTAAGAAGACAGAAAACATGGACAAGGAAAGTTTCTGCCCCATGGCCACCAAACAAGGGGGCTACACCGACAGATGCTGGTCATGGCACAGATGATATTCATGGCATAGACACTGGTCATGGCACAGATGCTGGTCATGGCACAGACGCTGGTCATGGCACAGACGCTGGTCAAGGCACAGATGCTGGTCATGGCACAGACGCTGGTCAAGGCACAGATGGTGATTATGGCACAACAGAGCATATACAGAGCCTTTCTCCTAACTGGTCTGCCCTTTAAAGGAAAATTGAGAAACCATGGTGGCATTTAAGTTTCTGGTTACACTTCACAATTTTTTTTCTATCCAGAATGGGGCTAACATGAAAACACATTCAAATTCCATTGACATGCAGAGCTGAACTGTGTTGACTGTAAATTGGACGACATACTTTTTACTTCATGTGGAGTAAGAAAAACGGTTCCGTTCTGTGGTAAGGACTTCAAGTGAATCCGCAGGAACGCCAGCACTGTCTTCATACTCCCTATATTGTTCTGTCTAATTGTACTTGCATGGGTGCAATTGTCCAATAATTTCTACCTGGGCTTCTGAGTCGTGTGCAAGCCCAGCTTAGACCCTGGGATTTCCGGGCTTCACTCTATCCATAGCCTAGGTCAAGCATCCTTTGTGGCCCCTGAAGTATGGTCAAGTGTAACCTTGTCTGCACAACACCCAGCTCAGAACATAATCCAAAAAAGGTGCCATGGGAAGGCTGCTCCCTTTCTTCTTTGCCTCAACTCATTCTGCAAAACAACCAAACAGGGCTGGGTTTTGTTGTGTTGCTGTTTTGTTTTTCTTTTTTCCAAGTCATGGTTTTTCTGTGTGGCCCTGGCTACCCTGGAACTCAATCTGCAGACCAGGCTGGCCTTGAACTCACAGAGAACCACCTGCCTCCCACCCCCAAGTGCTGGGATGAAAGGTGTGCACCACTATGCCTGACTACAGGGCTCTGTCTTATGCAAGCGCCTTCTGGGTTGTTTCTACGTGACCTGATTTTGTGCATTTGGAGAACCAGGAGGAAGACCCAAGTCTACAAGTTATTCTCACGACCACCTCTCCTCCCCAGAAACTGTCCTGTTCATGTTCTTGGCTTCATAAGATGTGATTTCTGTCTCCTCACAGTGCCTGGGCCATCCGTTCCTTCCACCATTAGACTTCCAGCATGGGCTCCACCACCCTGTCAATCATCCCCACTTCCCGCCAGGACAGCGGGTCTCACACAGGACTTTGCACCTAGTATGCCTTGATCCTGACTTGCTGACTCTGTGGAAGATGCAGGTGAACATCTAAAGGTGGCTGGAGCCCCTCCATTAGTGTCCCAAACCCAGAGACACATGGGCTCTAAAGAAAACATCTGAGCTGGAACAGGACCCTATGTGTTCTGGGCAAAGGGCTCGGCAGAGAGTCACCCTGAGCTCTGCAAACTGTCACCGAGAAGAGGAAGGCAGAGCTGAGGGTCCACATCTCCTGACATCTGGACACTTAAATAATTGCTTCCATTTTTTTTTAAAAAAAATATTTGCAATGGGTTTCAGAACACTTTTAATCAAACTTCAATCCAAATCTCACATAACCAAGGACTCATTTTGAATTCTGGTGCTGGTGCTGCTGACTCAGGGAGGATGTAACCTGCATGATCTGCTTCAGTCTGTGTGGTCAAATCGTCATTACTGTCATCTCATGATACGGATCATGTCTTACAATATGGGACATAGAGCAAGGCGCAGAATAAGCCATCAATGCTATTACAGTAAGTGTTATTTGAAAGCTGGAAGCCTCAGACGAGTCCCCCCTGCCAAAAAAGAAAAGAAACGAAAAAGCCCAGGGCTTTGTCTTCTTTTATTTGAAGACTGGGTGCATGTAGGACACGGCCAAGGCTTATTTCAGTAGCCCTGTTTCAGTAAACATTTTATGTGCTTGGTGAGTATGTTAGCGTGTCCAACCATACAGCATCTTCCTTAGTTCATAATGATGTCTTTGCTCTGGGCTTCAGATAACTAAGTTCAGAGAGAGAGTTGTTTCCTGGGCCTCTTAGTCTGTGTGTAGAGGGCAGTGACTAGTACTCCTTCCACGAACCTGGTATCTGAATGCTTGGGTCCAGCCGAATTCTGGACTCAACAGGACTCTCATGGCTGCTGGATAAGGGTCAGCATGTCTCTGGGGCTGCTGGGAAGTGTGCTAGGGCATCTTCCTGCTAGGGTCTCAGCCCAGGCTTGCAGAGGTAGGCTTGACTGTGAGCAGCGCCTTGAAGAATCGCACTGGGTTCAGTTCTGCTTGCTCTTCTGTGGAGACAGGCACTGCCAGATTCCTCTGTAGATCATCTCACTGGGCAAGGCATAGTTGATGGCGTTGACGGTGGGCATGGTTTTGGCAATGAGGGCAGGCACCTGTTGTGTTGGAAAAGCCAGTGATAAATGCTCTGAAGCCTCGACGTCTCTCCCAGGCACACTTTATGACTCATCCCATTGCAACTGCCAATCATTTATCCCCAGACTGATTCTTCAGCCTCTGAGTCTTTCCTGGTAGATGTCTATGGTTCATCAAATGTCACAGAACCCCCTACCACATCCTACCCATGCCCAACCTGGGTGTCAATCCCAGCCTCCAGTCTCAGAGCACAAGCTCACTCTATGTCTAGCTGTCTCTATCATCTCCGTATGGCCCAAGGGATGAGGGGGCATTTCGGAACAAAAACATTTTCTATACTTTGCAAACATTTAAAAGAAAGAGGGAGGGTAACAAAAGAGAGACCAAGTGGGTGAGTTAGCAGGAAGCCAGAAGGTGTGATACAGCGAGACAGACAGATGTGAAGATGTCGGGGATTCTTTGGGCTTTGGAAGAGTCTGTACCATCTGTAGCTTGGGAGAGATGAAGCCCACATCTGCGACGGTTGCATATAGGTACAGGAGGGCATAGGGGCCCCAGCCCAGCAGCAGCATCCTGCCTGGCAGAGTGGTGTTCACCTAGGGAGGAAATATCAGAAGAAGCATCCTTCACTCTAGGTGGTCATAGTCATGCAGAGGCAGGGCTCCTAGGTCGGGCTCTAGGAAGGGGTTGAACCAGCAGAATATCCTGGTAGCACAGGAGCTCTTTGCCTTGAAAGGCTATGTAGCCTTAAGCCTGGTATTTAAGCTTACCAGACCTCAGTTTCCTTGTCTATACAATGGTATGATAGAGCTGAGTTACCTGGAGGTAGGAACTGGGGTGGGACGGATAGTGAACAGCGTTCTTTGACAAGACTCCATAGCAAAGGAGATTGAACTGGATGAAGACACGTTTCCTTCAATGTTGAATCTTTAAACTATTGAGCAGTGAGCCTGGTAATACAACTCAGTGGGTAGAGACTTTGCTGTACAAGCATGAGGATGAAATTTGGACGCCCACCACCCATGTGAAAAGCGAGATGTGGTGGTGCATGCCTGTAATCCCAACACTGGGAGGCGGAGACAAGAAAGATCCATGGGGCTCACTGATTACCCAGTCGAGCCAAGCGGCAAGTTCCAAGTTCAGTGAAAGACTCCCTCTCAAAAACTTGGGGAGGGACAAAGGCAATAAGCATTGACTTTTGGTCTTCACGGCCACGTGAACTCCTTCCCCTGATGCTCCTCAAATGTGAACCATTTTTATTTTCTTGTGAATTAGCCCTCTTCTGGAGAAAAACATGTAGTTAAGACAGATGGAGTGTTTTCCTGGGAGACGGACATTGAGGCTAGGAGGGAAACTAGACCTTACAGTAGACAGTTCCATCTCTAGAAGCTCCTAGTTTTGCTCAGAACCTGGGTGCTGTGGATAGTGATCAGTGCTTGGGCAAGCAGAGCCGATGCTTCAGAAAGATGAGGAAATCATGGTGGTGGTCTTCTGGCTGATGGAATCCCTGATAAGTATAAAAATTTTATGTGTACAAATCAAAGTTGGGGTGGGAAAGGCCAATGAAGTGGCTGGGTAGACAAATGCACTTATATCTGATCCTAACAATCTGACTCCAGCTCCCAGACCCACATGGTGGAAGGTGAGAACTGACTCCTGCGAGTTGTCCTATGACCTCCATGTGTGCATGCCCGTGTAGACCAGGGTGGCCTTGAGCTTGCAGAGATCAGCCTGCCTTTGCCTCCTGTTAATTGTTTAGAGTTGCAATGACATTCATTGTTGGAACAGCGTGAGATGGTGCAGTCACTATGGAAACAGATCTCCCATATGACCTAATAATATCACTCCTGGCATCCAAAGGACCCTGCTTCCTACCTCAGAGACACATGCTCACCTATGTTCATAGCTGTTCTGTTCACAATTGCTAGGACACAGAAACAGTTGAGAAGTCAACTGACTGATGAATAGACCATGAAAATGGGTAATAATAGACAGTGGAGTTTTATTCAGCTGTAAGGAAAATGAAATTCATAGGCAAATGGGTTGAATTGGAAAATACACTGAGTGAAACCCAGACCTAGAAAGACAGGCATTGCTTACATGATCCACTCATATGTGGATTTTAGCATCAAATCTTTACAATTGTTTGTTGAATTTGGATCACCTGTAGAATATAGGAAAGTTGAAAGGGGCATTGATAGGAGAGGATAAAGATCTAAAGGGGGTATGATAGCACATCAATGCTTTGAAGGGCAGTGGAAGAAAACAGGGAAAGAAGACAATTGGGGGAGGTTTGTGAATATAGCTGCTGGGGACGGGGAACTAATGCTAAAGATGTTTGAATGAATCAAAAAGAAACCTAGTGTTTTTAAGCTTCATTTGGGTAAGAGACATTAATCAGCATAGAGCCTTCTCCCACAGGCCATAGCTTGCCAAATGAAAAACTCAGTCCTAGGTGTGTTAAGTTGGTCACCGGTGTCCTGGAGATTCTCCAAAATAATATTGGTTATTGCCATTGTTTTTAGTTGCCCACAAGAATTTGGTAACAGGGCTCTATTAATGAAGATGCCATACATGTTGGTTACAGCACACAGGGATATCAGGTTGGTATCTACTAAGACACTGCTCCATGCTGGCCGACTTTCACCTGAAACTCAGTAAATTGCACTAATGACAGCATGGGAAGATATGCCCATGAGAACAATAATAGCACAAAAGTTACAGGGGTAACCAATCACTTTCTGACTGGATTTAAGGCCCATTGTACAGGAGGAAACACATGCACAGTACCATAAATCCAGCCAGGAACACATTGTTGAGGTGATCACAGGCCAAGGGTGAACCAACAGCTGTATTTAGCTATATGTACACAGTATCAAACTTCTCCCTAAATTTGTATTTCTATACCCAAACATTAGTGCAACTCTTGGTCTTTATTAGAGAAAGGTTTTCTGTTTGTTTGTTTGTTTTTTCTGGTGGTGGTTAACACAATTGGTCCAGTGAAGTGTTCAGCCACAAATGGGATTTTTATCCACACTACACATACATACATACATACATACATACAGAGAGAGAGAGAGAGAGAAACAGAGAGAGAACACTCGAGCACTTGAGAGAACACTCAGGAACTAAAGAAGAAAATGGGACACAGACATACACACACAGAGAGACACACACAGGGATACACACATGCACACACACATGCACACACACATGCACACACACATGCACACACCCCACACACACACCAGTTCAGGAATTATAGAGAAACGTGGTGCACACCCTGTTAAAGCCCAGGCTCAGGTAGGAGGAAGTAACAGTTCCTTCCGGGCATGACATGACAGCTGCACTCACGAATCCACAGAAGCTGCGGCTGTCTGTATGGAACCAAGCCAGCCAACTTCCTAGCATGGAGTGGGCAGTGCTTCATGAGCTCCACCCCTGAGAAGCTATGGCCGTTGGTGGCTTTCAAAGGTGTGGACTCGGGTTGGCTGACCATACTCCAGTAGATGGTCCCATGTGTGTAACTATATGGGCAGCGCAAGTTGGGGTTGGTGGATTAAGTTATTTAAAACGAGAACGTGAACTGGGGATGAAGAAAGTAGGGGTGAACCTGAGAGGAGTTATGGGAAGGGGTGGGGATTGAATAGAATAAAACCACACTGTATGAAGTTCTCAATTAATATAAATAATTTTTAATGCTGAGGTGAGCAGTGTGGGAGAGAATCGAGGAGGTAGCGCTCTGGCCTCCAGGGTAGGGGTCAGGATTCTTGTTCCAGGGTAACCCTCGACATTTTAGTTAGACCCACAGATGAAAGTAATATGTAATGTTGTTTTCTAATTCACAGGAATAAATCTCAGTGGCAGGTTGTCTTACTAAAAAGAATATTCTTATGCACTAAAATCAAGCTCTTTGTGGATGACCTCCAGGTCTGGCTTTTGATCCGCCTCTGCTGTTACTAACCGTGGGGCACTGGCGAGTCTTTTAGCTCCCTTTTCTGCACCTCGTCCCAGTCCGTGACAAAGCTTCCACTCATCAGAAAAGATTCACAAAGATGAAGTGAAAATACAAATAATGTCTATAATATCAATATTTGCTTTCCTTAAAAAACAACCCTTTGCTGCCAGTTATGGCTCATTTGTTAATTTTTTAGGGGGCAGAGTCCAATGAAAATCTCTGGCCCAGAAGTTTTAATATCAGAATTCTGAACTGGCCAGGAGGTCTTATTTTAAAGCATCGTTCTCTTGGACAAATGTGCTTGCAGGTGGGGTTTGATGTGGTGGGTAATAGCCCGTGACTGTGATTAAATTAAACATCTCAAAGCAATTTTAAAAAGCAGCATTTGAAGAGTCCTGCAATTTAATGCCAAGCCTCCAATCCCTAGGGAGACTGAAGCATGACAGCCTGCAGGATGTGATGTTAGGAGTCTGGATCTCGGGGCTGCAAGGTCTGGGCAAATCGGTCTTGTTTGGGTCCTTGCTGCCTAAGCTTTGGAAATCCAAGCAACAGGGAGGTATTGTCTAGCCCTAACAATATATTATCTATGCAAGCTGTTTTTTTTTTCCTGATGATTTTTGCCAAACCCTGACTTCTGTCGTGCCATGAATGCTGCCAGGGGCTCTGAGAGGCCCCAGTGGCCCCCGCTGCTGCAGGAGCAGGCTTCTTACCGGAAGATGACCGCTCCTGGAGAGTTTGTGTTCCATGAGCCGGTACGAAGTGAGCGTGATGAAGAGGGGTACCAGGAAGTTGAAAAAGGCCATGGTGAAGAGGAAACTGATTTCGTTTCTACAGGCAGAGGGGAGAAAAACAGAGGTCAACTTACCCAGGATGCCAGCAGCACAGGATGCTACCAGTGTCGGTGCCGAAAAGTGAGAGGTGGCACCTCATCTTAGACATGCACTCAGATTAGGTGCTCCTGTACTCAGCTGATCTCCCCTGGGTAGTCAGGAGCCATAGGTCTTCCTGAAGTTTGCCTTTGGGAACCAGGAGCTCAGATGAAGAAAGAATTTTTTTTCCAAGCTCAAATGCTCAGCCCTGCTGTCTTGTTTGTTGGCCAAGGGTGGATGGAATTCTTCAATTTGGAAAATAAATTCAATAAATTCTGGAGGTATCAGTGGGCTGAGAGGAAAGAAAATCCAAGGACATTTCTTGATTTGCATGATGATTTGAAAATAACCCATGGGTGTTGGAGATTGGATACTATGTCTTTAAGCTATCAGTGAAGGGACTGGGTATGGTGACTTACACCTGGGAGGCCAGGCAAGAGGACTGCCACAAGTTCACTGCCAACCTGGGCTCTATAGTGAATTCCAGGCCAGCCTGAGCTAGTGTGAGCTAGTGTCTCAAAAGTCAACAATGGAAAACTCATTAAAGGGATTGCCAAAGAGCCTGTGGTCTTGGTTCAGGTCTCGAGGGAATGGGAGGATGGCCAGAGACAATTGGGAGTCACAAGGATGCATTCATGACTTCATGAAGGGGAGGCTACTCAAGGGATACTTTCTACTTGTCCACTAAGGAAAAGTATGAGGAATCCTTGTTGGGTAATGTTCTGCAGGACATTAGGGCCATCCAAATGCATAGGTCAGTTTCATGTGAGAAGCCTATTATTATCAGGGGCAAATGTTTCATGAGTATGCCTTGTCTGTAAAACACAAATCCAGTGTAACTGTGCTGGAAACAAGAGTGGAGAGAGGTGGGAGGCATGGCACTAGAAGCCACTGTGACCAATCCCCAAATTGATCCCTGATGGATTTTCTAAGCTCTTTTTCCCCAGAGTCACACAGATGGTGCGGTAGTATAAGAAAATTCCACAGTTGTGGAGACTGCATGTATTCAGTCCTATTTTGACAGAGTTTATCCCATATTACATGCTGAGAGAAGACGGAGAATGTATCTCCATGCTGGGAGGTCCCCACCTATGCAAAGCCCTTATGTGTTTTAGATATGTTGGTCTGAGAACCTGGGTGCCTCCCCAAATCAATGCATTCTACACCAAGACAACTCCCTGTGCTGAAGAAGGCCAAAGGGTGGTGGAGTAATAGTTATGACTGTTGTAGACCAATGACCCACTGCTCCTTTGGGTTTCTCCAAAAGTTGACATTGCTCCAGTTGAGTTTTCAACTGGAACACCCTTCTCACCGAAGCTTAAAGTCAAGATCCCTGTGGAAGTGAGACTCAAAGCCACAAGTTCCACCTCACCTGTCACCTCTAGAATAGTCCAATGTACAGCATGTCCCCAAAGGCTCATAGTCATAGTGGCCCCAGCCCATCAGTGGCAGGGATGCCCAGAAGGCGGATGATAGCCACACAAACAGCACCAGTGGGATGGCCGTGTTCCATGCCAACTGTCTCCCTGCATGAGATAGAGGAAAGAAAGACAGGTTGTAAAGAGATAGCTTGACTACGTGAAAAAGAATGGACTTTGTCACTGCAGAGTCTGCAAATCCCTAGTCCAATAGTAATAGCATGGGTATCTTTGAACCTCAGTTTTCTCCATACTGAGCATGAAGCTCTCTGCATTTGAGGACTGTGATGAGCAAAAGAGATCATGGGGAGTGATGGTCTCTTCATATATCCTAAATCAACCTCAGAGAATACAGAGGCGTAGGGAGGGAGTGAAAACAAAAAGCAGATGTGTCTCCCAAGGCCAAGGTTAAGGAAGAGATCTATGCTGTAGTTTGGGTAGAGGCGGGGTGCTTGCTGAGAGGCAGGTGTCTGCTCTCAGGATGCTCTATAGAAGCTCAGGGACCTGGATTCAATCTCAGGACTGCTTGAAGAAGCTATTGTACTGACAGCCTCTGAGGGTGTGATGTGGTCCAGCCTGACTGACCTGCCGTGGTCCTGTTCTCTCTTTTGCAGCCTCTTTGGCCTGTCTTCAGCACATCTGTCCCAGGTGTCCTCATCTCTCTGTGGATTATTTGTTGAGCCCTTTTGACCCCAGGGAAGAAGACAGGGCTCCCGATAGTACCAGCAAAGAAAAGCAGGTCTACAACCTCCCTCAACCCACACCTAGCCTCTCTTGATAACATCTCAGAGGAACTTTGTTTGAATGTGCACTTCCCTGCTAAAGATAGGTTGTGTTCTCCAATGCGAGTGCTGAGAGTGTAATGTCTAGTGTGATGGCCGTTGAAGGTAAAACTTTGGGACCTCATTCATCTCAAGTGGGGATCCCTGAGTGAGTTTCATTCTCCTTTAGTATGGCTCTTTCTAGGCTGCAGTGTAGTTCGCAACTCTCATATTCATATAAGGACAGACATGAGAGCTATGATCTTGTGAAGAGGCAGTTTGGTGCATGGCAGTGATGGCGCACACCTTTAATCCTAGCGCTAGGAGACAGAGGCAGGCAGATCTCTGTGAGTTCAAGGCCAGCCTTGTCTACAAGAGCTAGCTCCAGGACAGCTGGACTGTTACACAGAGAAACCCTGTCTCAAAACAAACAAACAAACAAGGATTAGTTTGGTGAACATGTACAAAGAGGAGCTGCACCAAGCAAGACCAGACATTCTGGCACGCTAATCTCAGGTTTGAGAGAAATGGAGTTTTATTGTTTAAGCCATCTACTCTTTGATGTTTTGTTATAGTATCTCAGGCCAACTAAGGCACCCTTTACTCCATCAGAGAGCGTGGTAATTAACATCCAGCTTTGCCCACGTGGGGCAGAAGCCTTTTTGCACAAAAAAACATTTCCATGATTGAGTGTTCACTGTCACCCAGTAATGGAGCAGATGAGCCTGGCCTCCCTCCTCACCAGTCCCTGTCTTCAGGTTGTTCTGTTACACTCCCCAAAACAGGAAGGAATTTGATGCAAAGGCATGGTGGGGTTGAAGGTTAATTGAAGAGATGTTTGTGACTCTCAGACAAGACTCTCTCTCCCTCTTTTTCTCCCTCTCCCCTCCCTCCACATATGTGTGTATGCATGTCTACATGTGTGCATGTATACATATGTGTATGCATTGTACATATGTGTGCACATGCATGTGTGTGTGCATGCGTGTGTATGTTTGTGTATATGTTGTGATGATCCTGAGGATATTTGGAAAAGGCAGTATGGAAGCCATAAAGAGGGATCCCCAAGACCATGTTAACAGAGGAGGCTAGGCTATCATCACTCAGAACAAAAACAAGGCAGTTTTTCACCAAGAGAGAGGCTCCTGATGCCTGAAAGTTAGGCTTGTTGGGGTCATGGACCCTAAAGGAGGCTTCACGCTGATAAAATCCACCATGCAAGACTTGGACTCAGTTGAGAAAGGAATTAACAACCTCTGAAGACATCCTAGCTATACTCAATGCCAGCACTAGCTCTGTTTACTGGGTTGCACACTGGAGGTTTTCTGTCTAGGTCAGTTGAACTACAGTTCCTCAAAGTATGCTCATGTGCTCTCTGCTAGTGGTAATGTTGTGTGTTTTAACATGTACTGAAATTTAAGTACACTACACCTGTGATTTCACAGCTACCATTTAGAATATGACATTAAGAAGAATAAAAATTAGTTTTTTTTGCTAGTTGCTTTGGAGATAAGGCCTTTTGTAACTCAGGTTGACCTTGAACTCACTAAGTAACTGAAAACAATCTTGAACTCCTGGTTGTTCTGACTTTGTCATCCTCCAAGTGCTGGCATTAAAGGCATGCACCATCATGCCATGTTTTTGTGGTACTGAAGGCTAGACCCAAGGCCTTGTAGATGCTAAGAAAGGGCCTTACCAATTGAGCTATATAACCAGATCCTAATTAAGTTCTAAAGAGAACTAGGCAAGGCACAGTGATCCACACTCATAATAATAGCTGGTTTGGGAAATGGAGACGGGAGGACCAGGATCTCAGTCACCCTGCCTTCATATGGAGCCTGAGCTGCCTGAGACTGTCATAAAACAGAACTAATGAGATAAAAGTAAACCTACAAAACTAAAATAAAAGTCTGACGTTTTTAAAAAGTAACTCATTTGCTGGGGAAAAAAATAACAAGCAAGGGTTAGGGACATAGCTCATTAACACAGTGCTTGCCTGGAGTGCGTGAGCCACTAGATTTATCCCTAACACTGCAAGAAGCAGGCTTGGAAGGGCATGCCTGTCAGCCCAGCACTCATAGGCAGTCTGAAGACTGCCTGGGGTACATAAGAGCCTGCCTCAAAACAAAATAAAAGATGACAAGCAACCGCAGAGTAGGTAGCACACTAATGACAAAATTTAACATGTCATTACAGCAAGGCTTGGGAAATCTAGGCCTGGGTTCATCTTCATGTGGCTCTGCCATGGACCCATGAAATGGCAGGGTGGGAACACACCCAGACCCCACCTTCATACACACACACACACACACACACACACACACACACACACACACACACCACCCTCTTTCTGTCCCCCAAGTTTACCTGACTTCCAGGGTGTTTTCTATGCCCATGATCTCATTTGATTTTCAAGATGAATCTCTAAAGATTGTTTTTTTAAAATAATCTTGCAGAGAAGAAAACTGAGGTTCAAAGCCTTGAAGCAAGACTGTAGCAAGGGCAGACACAGTCTTTCTAATGAGCATCTCAAAGCAGGCCTTTCCACCCTCCCGCTCCCTCCTCTTCTGTAATGCATGTAACATGTTATGTGCATATGCCCTCCCTCCCAACCACACTCTCCTGTTTGGAAAACACTGAGCTGAATTGAGCACCGGCCACCCTGCCCTCTGTTTTATCCTCCTACGCTCAGCGTCCCCACAGTCAGCAGGCCCAGAGACGTACGGGTGCAGTAGTGGTGGTAGCGACCCCAGGCGATGGCGGCACTGCCACAGATGCTTGCCAATGCCACTGCAAACCCCTGGAAACCGTGGGCCTGGCAGCCCTCTGAACCATATGGCCAGCGCCTGTGGGAAACAATGGGTGCAGTGAACCTTCCCTCCATCCTCCCCCCCATCCCCACCTGCCCCGAGGAAGCTGGAAGTTTCCTGGGTGCTATCCCTGCTCCCGCAAGGAGAACCTTATTAATAGTGTCTTCCCATGGTGAAACTGGGACCCTAGGGTTTAGGTCAGTGGGCTAATGAACCACCAATGGGCCAAAAGGTCCTTTGGGATGATCATCTGTCTCCATTACAGGTGGGTAAACTGAGGCCAAGAGAAACAAAATTTCTTATTCAGGGTATCACAACAGATGAAGGCAAACCTAGAAGGTAAACCCCCAAATCTTGGACTCTCATTCCCATGGTGAAGTTGAGGAAGAAGCACTGGTTCACTGTGAGAGGAGGAATTTTTACTGATATAGACTCCAAAGACACCTTTGCAAACCTCATGACAAGACCCTGGTGTGCACATGAGGTACTAGACGCTGGTCTAAATCCTGTTTGCTTTAACAAACACCTATTTAGGGCCTACCAGAGGGTATTCGTTCAAGCTGTCTGTAAATAATTAAACCAGTACATCCAACAAAGCATATGAATTAGTTGTAATATGTAATTGTTAGATGTATCCCAGGACTGGAAATGATAAAGCAAGGACTCAAGGCTCAACCACTTGAACACAGGTCTCAGGTTCTGGATCCCTCCAGTCCACCATCTCTTTGGTCAGGTCTGAGCAACCCCTGCAATTACAGACACTGGCTAAATCTTCATCAATAACCAGGAATTTGAGTTTAACTTAATTCCACCTACTTAACTTCTGACTGTATGACATTTTTCTATAGGTAGAAAGAAAGGCTCTGGTTTGTTTGCTTGTGACCCCGAGGCCCCAGAGACTATGGAAGGGGAAGGGGCTGGTACCGGAGGAGGCTGGATACAGCTGCAACAAGGGCATTCAGGCTGATCCCACTGTCTGCCAGGGCCAAGCTCAGTACCAACAGGTTGCTGGGAGTCTGCAGATCTGGAGTCTTGCAGAAAGAGAAGATGGTCAGGCCATTGAGGCTGAGGCCAGAGAGCGCTGAAAGGAAGGGTGGTATCAAGGCTGGCACCAAGGTGAGCATGCCCATGTGGGCATCAGAAGCAGGGTCTGGGGTTGGTGGAGTTTCAGGAACCTCCCAGATTCCACCTCAGCATCCTCTCACACATCTTTTCAATTGCTGCTCTGGTGGGATGACTCTCAGGCAGTAAAGTCTGTGATTCTCGCTGACAGGAAGATGTACAAGAGGACTGCACAGCCCAGTGTGGCCCGTGCTGTGACAATCCCTGAAGAGCATGTGGCATGGACCCTGTCACTCAGTCTTCTCTCTGTGTCTCAGAGATGCTCGATAACACACATGCACTGAGTGCAGTCAAAAAGAGACAGAACTAGGGAAAGTCTCGAGTGTTTCAGATTTCAAAATGCCTCTTTCAAGGGCTTTGGGGCCATGCCATGGAGGGACCTGGAGGGAGGAGCCAACTTAGAGCCTACAGTGACCCAGGACACCAGGCAACGAGGTGAAGCTGCAGGAGGGGTTCTTGAGAAGCAGAGACCCGACCTTCAGTTTCAGCTTGGTCACCCCCTTGCTGTTCCTTGAACTTTCTTAACCTTAGCTGATTGTTTGAAAAGAGCAAGAGCTGAACCTGGTGGGCATGATACTGAAGAAGCTGAGGCAGGAGAATTGCACATCCAAGGTGAGCTTATATAGCTCTACCTCAAAGCTAAAAAATCAAAGCAGGACTAGGCATCTCCCTAGTGGTAGAGAACTTATCTGACTTGTGAAAAGCCCTGGGTTACAGCCTCAGTAACATCCCACTCTTACTAGAAAGGGTGGTGGTGGGGGGATGATGGAGAGAGAAAGCTTTTTCCTTTAAAATTGTGGAGGTCAGTGTATGGGAAAGAATCCTAGAAAGAGAAGCAAATATAAAGACATGAAGTAAATTTCCTAGCATATTAGAGGACCTAAAAAGCAGGTTAAGTTGAAAGGTTCCCAGAAAATGGGGCCCACCCTACGATGTCCAGGATCTGCAGGGTCTGATGGTCACTCCCTCCCCCACTGTCAATCCTCGCCATGTGAAAGAATGCATGGTTACTCTTCTGGGTCCCATTTGAATGGAGACTGGACCCCACCAGCCTGGCTTTGGGGAGAACCCCACTTCTGTACTCACTGAGCATCTTAGAGATTCTAGCTTGAGGGAGGCATCTCTTGGACCAAAGTAGCTGCTGCTGGAGAAAAAAACTTTGGTAGCCGATATAGACCTGGTGGGGGCAGTGCCAGACTGAGGCAGAGGTGGCCGGGGGGTGATGAACTTAAATTCCCTGTATATCTATTTAAACCATGATTTTATACTAATGATTCAACTTTGTTTCTGCAGACACACATTTATGACTAGGCAATGCCCTGATAACGTCCCCCAGTTGGCAGTCAGCTGAATTGTTTATCTCGGGAGACGGCTGAGGTCATGCTCTTATAAGACAGTCTCAGCAAAATTTCTGGGGGAAATGGATTAAATTTTCTCTTGGCTTGAGGGACACGAAAAGCACAGACTTGGTCCAGTTACCTCCTGAGCAGCTATCTCCTGTCCAAGGGCCTCTGTCTTTGGCCCTTGCCTGACTTCTTTATCCTGGCTTCTACACAGCATGCTACATCCTAAGGGGGATGAGAATAACCCCTGGATCCAGAGGAGAGGCAGCCAGGATGGTATTCCCCCTCCACGGCTGTGGCCTGGGTTCTGGTACCCACTGGATCCTCGCCCCACCCAAGGTCTTGCTTGGCTCACCTTCTATCAACAGCACTGTCCCCACAGCCAGCACCTCAAGTTCCCCAAAGCCAGCAGGCAGGGCCCTGTTTGCTGCCATCCTCGGACACCCTGCGCATCGGCCCCCCAGCTCTTTCCTGTCTCTCTGAAGCCAGGCTCCTCCTTTATAAAGGGCTCTCCCACCCGCTGGCACATGGTGCTTACGATGGTAGACTTTGAACACCTTCTGTTTTCCTCACCCTTCTAAGTCTTCCCCTTGGCTCACACAGAAAGAATCCATTCAGCAGAAGGACAGTGGTGCCTGTGTGAAGCTGGAATGAGCCCTGCCTTGTTCATTTCAGCCCCCTGGGCAGGATTAAGGTCTAGGATCCAAATGGTGTGTGACCAAAAGCTGAATTGGGAGCGGGTTGCATAACCAAGAGAGGGAAGCGGAAGAAAGGATTTGAGCTGCAGCTGTCCCTGAGAATTGGATAGTGGCCAGGTCCTTCTATGTGCACAGTTCCTGACAAGCTGAGTGTCTGGGCATTCATGTGCATGTGCATGCACATGCGTGTGCATGTGTGTCTGTGTCCATTAACAGGATCATTCGCGTATATAGGCAAGCGTTCAGGGAAGGGTGATGTGCTGCCATAAAAACAAGTGTTGACAGGGAGCAGACCCTCAGCTTCTGGTTTCTAAGCCACCACTGCTGGCTATAGACCTGCATTGCAACCATTGGGTCATTTTCTATTCAGCTTAGGCATTTGTGCTCCTTGCCTTTTCCTAGTTAAGTGCTGGTTTGAATATATTGTGGATTTAGACTTTGGGGCTTCACTTCCTATCTCCCACACAACCTTCGGGCAAGCCTCCCAGCATGAAGGATGGCTTGCACACTTTTTCAAAGTGCCTCAGAACTCATTTAAAACTTTGGCTTCGCACAAGGTCTTGATACAAGTTGTCTACCTGCTCATACTGAAATCCACATCAGAAAACAGTGATCTGTGTGACAACTAATTTTCAGATGGAGAAACCAAGTCCCAGAGGGCTATTAGCAAAATAGCTCATGTCTCCTGAAGTTAGGGACCACACTAAGGGTGGTCATCAGAAGACTTCTCAAACAAACCCCATGGTTGAGATGCCAGGACCCTTCCTTTTCAGATGAGGAGACTGGAGATGAGAGAGTTAGAAATCAGCCCAGAGCCTTGTAGTGAGTTGGAAGTGGAGCTGCAGAGATCTCTACCTTCCATCATGCAGGCGCTACCACTTCACATTGGTGCCCTCTGATCCCCCCTAGAAGAGCAACTCATTCTGTTCTGGTAGCACCCAGGTCACAAACCTTCCCTCTGGCCAATACCGACCTAAGTCTGAACTTAATGCCTCTTTGAGCCCGAAGTTCCAGCTACATCCTCCAGGGCCTTACCTACTCTTTTCTGATTTCTACCTTGCTGGTTAACACCTGCGGCTGTCTTCTCATGCCCACAAGACCCCCAAAGACATCAGGAAAAAAGAGAAGGGACAAAGTTAGGAAAAAAAGTGCAGAGTCAACTAAATGAAGTCTGAGTGAAGGCATTCCAAAGAAGAGGAAAAGGCAGCCTGGGTGTGGCAGCAGGCCGGGGCGTCTTTGATTTCGGAAGGAGGGTGAGAGGTACTGTATTAACACTAAAAAAAATGCAATTGGCTGGATAGGAAGAGAAGGTATGGAAAGCATCTTTTTTCAGGAGCTGGTCCTGTCTAGACAGGCTTGGCATGGAGCTAGGCACTGTGTGTATGCCCTGGGTTCTGTCTTAGGGTTACTGTTGCTACAACAAAACACCATGACCAAAGCAACTTGGGCAGGAAAGAGTTTGTTGGCTTACACTTTCGCAGTACTGTTCATCACTGAAGGAAGTTAGGATAGAAACTCAAACAAGACAGGAGCCTGCAGGGAGGAGCTGATGCAGAGGCCACGGAGGGTGCTGCTTACTGGTTTGCTTCACATGACTTGCTCAGCCTGCTTTGTTATAGAACCCAGGACCACCAGCCCAGGGATGGCCCCACCCACAAGTGACTGAGTTCCCCCCCTCCTCTAATCACTATTTAGAAAATACAGTCTAAATATATACAGCCAGATTTTATAAACACCTTCTTAACTGAAGGTCTCTCCTCACAGATGACTTCAGCTTTTGCCTAGTTGACATAAAACCATCTAGCAAATTCCCAGGTGTCTTCCTGGGTCCAACCTCACTAGCCTATGCTTGACTAGGCCATTAAGCCTATTCTATGCCAGACTATGGAATCTACCAGAAAAGCCAGAGGACCAAGTATTCTGAGACAGAAAGTAAAGCCAGTAAATGGGTGACTTTTCAGGAGATCTCAAATTCCCTCCTCCCTGACATCTTGGGAAGGTTTTGCTAGATGGGGATGGAGAAGAGAAAACAAATAAAAACCTCTGTGAGATCCAGCTCTAGGACCCTTCCTGGTGGGTGACCCTTGAGGAGGGCAAACTCCTTTCCCCTGGCCGTGACCCCCCTTGCTGTAAGCATGAGTGGAAATGCCTCAAAAGGTAGCCCACTGATATCTGAGACTGAGCTCCATGGGGGCACTGAGGAATGGTGATCTGAGATCTGAGTACAGAGGTTGTGCTCTGAAGCATGGACTCTTTCTAATGCTTGCATTCTCTTCAGAAGGCTTTGCTTCCTGTCACTCCTATTTTTTTTTCTAGAGATTGTCATAGGAGACAATTTCAAAGAACTTTATTATAGACCACAGTTCTGTTTTTTTTTTTTTTTCTTGAGCCTTGCACCCCAAGGAGACAGACCTGTTACCCATGGCCTGGTTGAAATGAAGTTCTTTGCAAACAGACAGCCCAGTCCACTAGTTACCTCACCTAGTCACGTGCCTCTGGGCAACCGCCCATCTGCTTTATCTTGCTGTGCCCCAGCTTCTTCTGCCTGGGGCTGTGGCTTTACAGGGATTCTCTCCCTCCCCTCAAGACTGGGTGATTCAGGAAGCAATAAGCCGCTGAGTGCCAGGACTGGGGCTCCCTCCCTAATCCCCAGTCTGTTTTTATCCCATGGCCTTGGGTGGGGGTTGGAGAGTGATGAGCAAGTTGGTAGCTGCTGGCCTTACTGGACAAGCAGGACGGAGCATTCCTGGGGACAGGTTCCCTGCCTGGGCCAAGAGGAGCCAGAAGTCATGTGGGTGGCCCTGGGCATGGTCTGGCTCCTTGCACTTGGGGGACCTCACCAGGCCTGGAGCTTCTGTCCCTCTCAATGCAGCTGCAGCCTGCACATCTTGAGTGATGGCGGCAAGGCCAGGTAGGACGCCTCCAGGTGTGGGATGGGCCATCAAAGCCTTCACAGATCCACTGGGTAGACAGAGTCGGGAGGGGTTGGATGTCGGCAGCTATCCACTTACTCACGAGTTACCTGCTCCCACCTCAGGCTATCTGATACACGTAGACATGCTGGATCAGGACCCTTGAGACCCAACGTCTTGGGAAAGCAGTGTGTGATGGGTCGGTCATCTTCAGTATGCAGGGGGTTTACTCGGCCCACGAGGTGTGAAACATGCAGGGGCCAGGGTCTGGAAGTTTTCCTGAGCCTTTCTTCGTGTTTGTGGTGCGGTGAAGCCTTCTTTTAGAAGTCTAGAGGTTTCTTCCCTCTCTCATTCTTTCCCTTCGTTTGCTTCCTTCCTTTTTTTCTTCCTCTTTGCATCTCCCAGCCTTCTTTCTAGGCATCTCTCATTCTCACGCGTGACCTCCACAAGACACCCAGACACATTAAGGTGACTTTGTCTACTAACCCATGGTGGGACACATGGGAAACACATGGGAAACATATGTTTCCTCCAACTTGATTAAATACAAGGCCAGAAATGCCCATTTCATAGTAGGAAGCTCCCTCCTTCTCCAGCCCGCTCCTTGATTTTCCCTCACGCTTTCTTCTCTTCATGGACCTTGGAAGGCAGAGCCACTGTGGTTGGTGGGCTCCAGCCTTTCTCGTGGAGCTCATTTTTTTGCTCTCATCAGGAAACTTTAAGTCATCTTTTCTCAATGTCCTTGGCTTAATCAGGAGGAAACTTAGTTTCTAATGGGTTCAAGGACTTCACTCACACGGGGCTTTTCTTACCAACTTCTCAACCTTGTGGCGTTCATCATCCTTTCTTCTTTGCTTTGTGTGAATATTGGAGAACCACTCATCATTTCTGATCGTGGAAATGATGTTGGTGGAACTACCCTCCTCTCGATGTTGACTTGATTAGGATTGATGGAGGCTGAGAATAGAGATAAACCTCCAGAAAAGAGAACTTGTCTGTTTCGGAGGAAAGAAAGCATTCTATTGTTGATGTGTTTGATGATTTAATTCATATGGGAAGTAAATTTGCTTTTACTAAGTAAGGCAGGCTGATCCGTAATGATGTTCAATCAGCCTGGAAAATGCTGATGACTAAGGACGGTGTGGTTAAGGTGCTTTTGTCAGCCTGGTCACAAAAGTGACACCATCCACAGAGAGCAAATGCCTCAATGTCACATGCCATTGGTGATGGAACCATAATCCATGGATCTAATTTGTTCGGTTGTTTGTGGTTACTCAAGACAGGGTTTCTCTGTAGCTTTGGAGCCTGTCTTGGAACTAGCTCTTGTAGACCAGGCTGGTCTCAAACTCACAAAGATTCATGGATCTAATTTTTAGACTCTGGGAATTCTGCCATGCATGGACATTCAGCTATCTGCACATTGTCCTGCGAGGGCAGTGAGGCCATGGAAGGCCGCAGAGAAGCCTCCGTCTCTAGAGGCCACAGGTACAGATGGCACACTGAGATAAAGCCCCTTCTGTATGTCGGATGCCTTCCTCAGACCCAGTTCTAACCTTGCAGAGCAGCATCCCAGCTCCCTTCCTGCTTCACGTTCAGATCCTGAGCACAGTATGTGTGCCTCTGGGAGTTACAGTTGCAGCTGTGTGCCCTGGGAGGTGGCTTGGTCAGGGCAACATAGGCACCTAAATAGAGGTTTCTCTTTCTGTTAGGCTATTTTGATCCTCCCTTGACCATACCCCTCCCCAGGGCCGCGTTAAGGGACAATTTCCCTATGAAGTCCCTTCCTTTACCCGTATCCAAGCTGTCTTCCTTGTTAACATCTTACCCATACAGAT